CATATGAGACCAAATAGTCCAGGGACACAAACTTGCATATATGCATATATATCTTTTTTTCGTTTTTATTTATAAAAAAAAATTACTTCATCACATGTAAACACAATAAAATGAAGAAATGGAGAAAAGACAAGATACTGACCAAGAAAATACAGTGCTGCATAAGTTATTGACAAAGCCACCAAGAAAGCCCCCGGGTAACTGAAACGGAGGCGGAGGGCCGCCAGGTCTTGGTCCAGGGCCACCTGGTGGTCTGGGTGGCCTCATCTAGCCCTCTAGCCTGCTTAAGAGAGAGAGAGAGACAAGAGGTAGAGACAGATAAACCCGACCCTCTACATAATGTTGAACACACAATGAAAGATTATTTTAAATTGTAACTAACAATACATATATTTTTTATTTCTTCATTGAATCAACAAATTTAAATTTCGTTTCTCACAATTCAATTGGCCCATTAACTGGATCTAATGCAACGACTTGACTTCTTTCGAGGTGAGTTTTTCATGTCACATAAACCAAAACGAAATGAAATATCGATATCTCATTCCTCATTTTCTCGGCAACCAAACAGGGTCCAATACGAAAGATCAGAGAGAAAATGAAATACAAAACTAGAATTATAGAACTTACGGGATCGGATCTTCTACGTGAAGTCGATGTATGACAAATCACAAATCTCAAAGCAGGTGTATGTGGAGGGAGAGAGAAGTGAATTGTTGATCGGAGGATTTGTGATTTACATGCAGAACAGTGTTGTGTATATATCGGGAAAGAAAGAAGAGAGAAAAGGTGTGTTGCTTTTGGGGACCAGAGGACCAGGTGAGGCACAACTGAATCCACCACGTGTCGCATTCACAGTGAAACAAAGTTGAACCGCATTAAACTTTCTACGCCTACGTCAGTAACATTAGTTACAAGGGAAATAAAATAGAAGGAAATGATAATTTTAACCCATATTATCGTGTTTGGTTGATTAGTGAAATAAAAGAAAAGTATTTTTATAAATTTACTATTATACCCTTTTATATTATAAAAAATAAAGTTATGGGCCTCATAATTTATAGGCCCATGGATGATGGGCCAAAAAAACAAATATATTTTTAGGGCGAATAATTTCAGCATTCGCCTCTATCTCTATTCTCGTTCTCAACTCTGAACTTGCCTTCCCTCCCTCTCTCTCTCTCTAACTACAAACTTCAAAATCTACAAGGATCAGAAGTTCAAAACCCATATATTTCAGAACCAATAGTGAAGTAGTTAGGTCCGACGACTTCCATGAGCGGTGAGGAGGTCTGGTCAGCCACGAAATTGAAATTAGCTCCATCCATGTACCTATTTGCCATGTTTGATTCATCGCCGGATTGAACTTCGCCGCCCACTCGCCGTCACGGGCGCATACGAGTAGATCTAACGCGTCTTTCACGCGCAAACGCACCCCTTAGTCTCCGGCGACTGTAATTCTGTTCCAGCCTTTCCTCAACGCAGTGAATTTTGGCGCCCTAGAATCAAGGGTAAATTTGGTATTACATTGCTCTCTCCTGCTCTCCCCTTTTCTTCCATTTCCTCCCATTTTTGGGAGGATTACAAAAGTCACTGTTGAGCCTATTTCTATCCCTCCAAAACCCTCAATTCCCTTTCAATACCAAATACGTTTTTTTATCACCCTCCATAACCTTTCTTTTCTTTTCCTCCCTTTTTTACTCTACCAAATTGAGCCTGAGGGATGACACAGGAAATGAAAGGAATATATATAATTGGAATTTCCCCTTGTTTGGAATATTCAAAATCTATAAATTTGGATTTATATTTAATCTAAATTTTCTTTTTGGAAATTTTCATGGTTTGAATGGAATAAATAGAACCGACTAATTCTAAGCCAAAGGGTCAACAAACTAAATGCCCTATTCTTGAACAACTTAGAGCCCCCAGCCTTTTTTCATCATTTCCACAGTTGAAAAGAGTCTATTTTATTATTTTTCAATTATACTTGAATAGTAAATAAAATATTATTTTATTATTTTTCAATTATGCTTGAATAGTAAATAAAGTATTATTTTTCAATTATACTATAATAGTAAATAAAATAGTTAATTCTACTATTTTATTATTTTTTAATTATACTTGAATAGTAATTAAAATATTATTTTATTATTTTTTAATTATACTAGAAATAGTAAATAAAAAATAAATTTATCAAACATATTTTCTCTTTTAAAAAATTCAACGTGTACATTACCAAAATTATTTTGGTTTGATAGAAATGACACATCTTTACAAAACTTTTCAATTTCACATAAATAAAATCACAGCAAAAAATGAAAATAACAGCTTTACCAATCATGGCATATAGTATCTATTGTATTCGATTGAGGTAAGCAATTGATTAATATTTTTTATTTTTTTATTATTTTTTTTTTCGTTAATCAAGTCTGGTACAATATCTTATAATGATTGAGAGCGTTGAAGTGACAAATAATCAGACAATGACTCATTTAAAATTATTTATGTCATCACTAAGTGCCATGTGATGATGACTCGTATATACGTGGTGGGATTCATTCTACACATCTCTTAGATTCTAAATGGATTAGGTTTGGTGCATTTTGATTGAGCTTTGATAACCCATGTCATAATTATATAATCCAACTGTGCCGACGGATCAGGATGCCAAGTCATTGTGATTCATCATTCATTTCCAATGTCATTACAGTATTTGAAAACTCTTTCCTATAGCAAAGTGTGATGTTCAATTTCACTATCAGTGCAAATTGTGACCTTGTCATCTCCAAACATTTCGAATTCAGTTGACCGTCACGTTATAAATACAATTCAATCAAAACATGTGAATTAATGTTATTCTTTCTCTTTCAAAATAAAAGATAGAAAATTCGAGCTTCCCGAATATATCACATATGCATTTTTTAAAATTAATTTGTCAAAAAAAAAAAGAAAAAAAAAATGAGGATAAACAATTCAAATATATATTTGGTTAATTGCTTTTTATTATTATTATTTTATTTATCATTGTTCTCCACGAATCGGAGTTAGACGCAAGGCATAAAAATGGTCCTCCTATCCTAATTTTAAATGGGCCTACATGTTGGACAAAGCGAATCATCTTTATAATTTGCTTGATTCATATGGATTGAGACTATAATAGGGAAATGATATACATATAGAAATGTACCAAGTGCCCTCTATGATTGTCATTGAGATGGGTCTGGATGTTGAGAGATTCTGTGGGCCTATTCGAGCCCATTAATCCTTGTTAAATTTTGTATTGGGCTTTCCTTATCTGCAGTTTTAAGCCCATTCTGAATAACAGAGCTGGGATAGTTTTGCACCTGTTCATTATATTGTCATACGCCTGGACTAGGCCCAGTCCACAAGAATCATTTCTGGCGAAAATTTTTCATATGGTGGGCAATGTTATATAATATAACATTGAACTGGAGGATCATCAATTCAACTTCATTTTATTTATACCAATCATATGAGTCATCCAAATTTCTGCAAAAAAAATCTTGTCTGTGAAACTATGAATCTGACATACAAATGTTGCAACAATTTTAAATTTTACAAATGGTTAAACTTTCTTTTCATTTTCACAGAATCGTTAATTTTTTTGAAATTCTAGATAAAAAGGAAATTACTTGTTGCTGATTTTGCAGGACTTCTAGGACGTCCCATCTACAATAAATACTATGTTTCTTCTAGTCTCGTATAAAGTTTTCACAGTGTATTGGCGTGACTAAAATTTGAAAATTTTATAAATCATCTGTAATATGATTTTGTATAAATACTAGTTGTAGTATATATATATTTTGAGAAAATTCAAAAATGAGAAAAATACAACTTAATAATAAACGAAAAATTAAAATTAAAAAGGAAAATATAGGGAAAAAAACAATGAATTACTTTAAAAGAGAAGATGTACAGAAATAAGTACTGTCACAGAATCAAATTTTCTTCATTAATTGTTTCAGTTTTTCAAAATCTAATTTTTGGAAGAAAAATTTCTGGGTATTTTGATTTCACTTGAGAAAGATACACCTAGATAAAAGATTAGAAAAAAATAATGAATTTTAACTAAAAAATATAATTTTAAATTAAACAAGATGTCAGTAAAGATTCTTATATAATTCTAGATATTTTTCTTGTAAATATCATTGTACAAAAATGTTTGACAAAAAATACTTGAAGCTTTTTTATTTAACATGATGGAACATGATTTTTATCCTTTTTTTTCTCACTTTAATTAGTATTATAGATATTGTACATGTGTATATATAAATAAATTAATAATGTGTTACAATAACAACTATAATAATAATGAGTTTCTTCACAATATTCAAGCTTTTAAAAGTATAGTTAAAAGGGTCAAGTAGAATTTTTTTTAAATTTCAAGAAGACACATACTGAATTTATTTTCGATCTCTCTATTTTGAGGCTAATTTTCAAACTCTCTATTTTGAGTCAATATATAATTATTTTGAAAAAATTTGAGGGACCAATTGAAAATTTTAATAATTTGTAGGGGTTATATTTATAAATTAATTAATATTTAGAGGATAGTAATAAAAAATTAGTTGGGGGCTGGCCCCTAGTTCCATCCTTAAATGGCTCCCATGCACCGGCTGGCGGAAATGGGACTCATGTTTGGGTCTCACGTACATGATCCAATGAATGGAGAGACAACACTCTTCATTCGATTTTAAGTTTCACTTTCTATGTTGTACTTTCGGGAAAAAAAAAAAAAAAACAACAACAACAACTTTGATAATTAACGTACATGAGGAAATTATACATGAAAAGTTCAGATTTTGAAGATTCCATCTTAATATTACACTGACAAGAAATTTTGATTAGATATTATAATGACAGAAGCTATTATTTTGGTACATTTATCTTATGAAGTTTAACACAAGGTCCAAGAACCTGTTGTGCATCTATAGACAGTTTTGGTACAATAATTAATGTATTGAAAATGGAGTAGAAAGTAAAAAAAGATAAATATATATTGGAAACTGAGAAACTTATAATTATTATTCTTAACAAAGTTAGTAAATCTTTCAATACAATGCTGTCTCGTATTACAGAGTAAAAGCAGCATGACAGAAGAGAGAGTCTGTAGAAAACTGCATATGGCCCATTCCATTAGATGTCCTTTTGTTGTTTTCAGAACCTAAAGATTAGAATGGACGTGGTCCTGGACCTCCCGGTGGGCCATGGGGTCCAGGTGGCCCAAAAGGATCACCAGGCGGTCCAGGAGGAGGTGGAGGCGGCCCAAGAGGAGGTGCTGCAGGCCAAAGAGGTGGTAGAGGAGTACCCGGTGGAGGCCCAGGTGGAGGGGGCCCAAGAGGCCAAATAGGTGGTGGAGGAGGACCGGGCGGAGGCCCGGGAGGTCCACCAGGATCACCAAAGCAGTCTTGTAGCAGCCAGCAACAACACAAGCAGTAAAAGCTGCAAAAAGAAAATGCAAACAAAAACACTTGTTACAGTGTGTATATTAATTATCACAAGTCATTAACTGAAAAAGAAATCTTCATGTAAACACAATAAAATGAAGAAATGGAGAAAAGAGAAAATACTGACCAAGAAGATACAGTGCTGCATAAGTTATTGACAAAGCCACCAAGAAAGCCCCCGGGTAACGGAAACGGAGGCGGAGGGCCGCCAGGTCCTGGTCCAGGGCCACCTGGTGGTCCGGGTGGCCTCATCTAGCCCTCTAGTCTGCTTAAGAGAGAGAGAAGTGTAGTAGAAGCTCAGGACAAGGTCTGTGACATTGTGTTTTGGAGTTGGGACACTTTCACTATATAGAGGCTGTCTTTGGAGTTTGGACACCTCGCAAAGTAATTTTTGAATGTTAAGTGGGCAACAGGTATATGTCCATTTTCTCAAACGTTCTAAAACTTTTTAATCTGCCTTTCAAACCCTTCAACTGCTGTTCTCCAACCTGCCTTTCTTTATAACTTCATGGTACATTAAAATCGTCCATCATGGGCAATATTTGGGTCCAACCCAGTTCATCCAACCTGAGAACATGGCCCAATCATTTTATGACAAGTGTTCAACAATATTACTCCCTTCATCCCTAAATAGTAGTCTATGTATTGAAGTTTTTAAAGAGATGTATTGTCTCCTTTTAAAATTTAAATTTTTTAAAAAGATAAAGGACAATGATGAAAATATATTTTAATTTAATTTTTTTTTTTTTTTAAGAGGATAGTTAATTTGAGACATATAAAAAGAGAAAAATAAATTGCTAGTATGGGACTAGGAGTATTAGATTTATGTTGGGTATTACCCGAGTTTGACCCGGTTGCTGTAACATTTTTAAGGGACCAAAATAACCCCATCTTCTCCCCTTTCATTCTCTCTCTACCGCGCGTTCAGAACCTCTTTGTTTTTATTTTTTTGGCTTGCTTTCAGAACTCTCTAGGTCGCTAAACCTCCCCCAAATCAGTTAGCTGCCCTTCTCTCTCATCAAGTCTCTCATTCTCTCTCTAAACCAATCAGAATATCAGTCAGATACAATCGGCCATGACAACTCCTTCACAGCTAGGGTTTTACATGTCCCCCATTTTCTCTATCCTAACAGCTAGGGCAGAGTCGGCGCCGACGTCGGCGGCCGGAACTCCCTCCTGCCTCGCTGCCACCAGATCAACCGGACCTTCAACAACATCAAGATCACAATCCTCTGCGGTTTCGTCACCATTCTCGTCCTCCGCGGCACCATCGGCCTCAACCTCAGAGCTCATCTGATTTGGGGGCGAACGGGAACGCTGATTTGGGTACGATCTTGGTATGCATGGGACTAATTTGGTCTTGTTTATAATTGGTGATGGGTTGTGTTTGTGGGTGAGCAGTGGTGGTAATTAGTGATGGTTGTGTTTGGGTTTGTAATTGGCAGAGGAGCTCTAATTTGAACGAAGGGGAGCTCTGATTTGGGTAATCTTTGGTATGTCTGGGACTAATTTCATCTTGTTTATAATTGGTGATGGGTTGTGTTTGGTGGGTGAGGGTAAATAGTGATGGGTTGTGTTTGGGTTTGTAATTGGCAGAGGAGTTCTAATTTGGACGAAGGGGAGCTTTGATTTGGGTACGATCTTGGTATGTATCGTCGACGTTGCTGAAGATGTTGCTGAAGATGGTGAGAATGAACCTAGCGGCGAGAGCACTCAAACCAACCTCATCGATCTTTGTCTATAAACCGGTGGGCCTTTTCCTTCAAATCAAGTTCTATAAATCGGTCATCTTCTTCGCCTCCAGTGGCACTTTCATATGTACGAACGTGTATACTGTCTGAGGTTGGGTCTGAGAGGAAGTTTGGTGAGGTTGAGAAGTTTGGTGTAGGGTTCATGATGAGGGCGATTGAGGAGGAGTTAAGAGACGTGGTGTCGGCGGTGGCAACGTATAGGTTTGAGACGAGGTACAGAGGGAATGAAGAGGGAGCAGATGGGGTTATTTTGGTCCCTTAAAAATGTTAGTGTAACGAATTGAACTCGGGTACTATTATTGGACACTTGTCATGAAATGAATGGGCCACGTGCCCTGGTTGGATGAACTCGTTCATCGTGGTTGTCCTAAAATCATAGGCGTAGTTGCAATCAGGTTTGACTCTAAAACAATACAACAAGTTTGGCCACGTGCCCTGGTTGGATGAACTCGTTCATCCTGGTTGTCCTAAAATCATAGGTGTAGTTGCAATCAAGGAATTTTTTTTTTTTTTTTAAAAAAAAGTTGAGCAACGTCAATCCTAGATTGCTTTTATTGTGATTCTCCGCTAACTACTTCCTGGACCTGTTTAATTCAAGTACCAAACATAACCTTGGTAGGACTACCAAGGGTTAAAAAAGGGAATTTAGTCATCTTTGGCCAGAGTTAGAAAACAATAACCTTATTAATGAACTCACGCTTAACAAATGGGTAAATCACTCCCACCTAACCGTGCATTGCATTCTTCCTGTTTAATTGTGCAAAACAATTTGCCACTTACAATTTACCGGCTATTTTGATACATGTACCCCTCCTAATAAAAACGCTTCATTTCTCTTGAAAAATTTCTATTTCTTTATTGTCAAAGTTTTCATTGAGAAAGATATCACATGTCAAAATATCCCAAGATATAGTTTCCCATTCCTTCCAATAAATTATATATAATACACTATAAGATGAGTTACTTGGACACTATAAATTGGCAAAATATTATATCAATTAAGATTCTAGAAATACTATGAATCTCGGTTTTCTTTCTTCCAAACCAGAAGTAACCTAACACCAATACTGAATTACTGGTGACAAGTTTTTGTATTCAGCACATATGCCATTGACATTTAGACCAAAAGAGGCCATGTTTGAAATCAAAAATTGCATCTACAACTGTCTTTCAATGTCAAAAATAGAGCCCTATTTTTCATCGAATATTGAGGCTAAATGTCCACAAACATTGTGGTATATTCTCTAAAACAAATTCGTGACAAAAGCACCAGAATTATAACGAAGGGGTTATTGATACTATAGGCCAGCAAAATAAAAAGTATGAAAAAAAAAAAGAAAAAGAAAAAAAAGAACTAGCACTGTGACCAAAGAAGAAACTTACACAGAAGAATAGTATTTTATTGGGTTTGGAAGCACAGGTCTGAATCTCAAAGTTTAACAAAGCTAAAAATGAAATACAGGTTCTTTGCATTTTTATTGTTACTAATCTAAACAGAGTCTGTCAACACCATGGAAGATAAAAAGTACATATACAAAACCGAGAAGGGCTTCTCAGCAATCCAAAAATTTAGAATAGAAACAAGAAATCTGAAAATACAAAAAAATTGACCTCTCTATGCAGTTTAACAAGTTTACTGGCCAGGATTGAAGACATACAGTTCCAGAAACATTTGCAGCTTTGTAAGTTGAGGATCCCCTAGTAGTAAAAGAACCAATGATATATTACATGCCTTCGTTATCCTTGATCCGAGCAGAATTCTTATCTTTCTGAGAATCCTTACGTTTCTTTCTTCTCAGAGAACCAACAGCAGCAGAGTCTACCAATGGGCCAGACCAAGTTTGGATGGGTACTTTTGAATATGAGAAATTCATTGAACTGAATGGGACATCAGGAGGGTCAAAGGCTGGGTCAATGTGATGTGAAGAACCTAAAGGATAACCGAGTGTTCCATCCTGGTGTGGAGGAGGAAATTTCTCGCTCTTGCTCTTTGCATTTGCATGTGTTATCAAACGTCGCCTCTGTTGTAGAAATAAATATAACATGGTAGTAGTGTGAATCAGTCAGGAGAATTTAGTTGTGAGAACATAGAATCAAGGGCCATCAAGAGCCACATCAACAATCCACATTAACAAATGCATTATTATAGTAGGGAATAGTATTACCAATATTTGTTTTCTGCACATTACACATATCTCACAGACACCTACATAATTGCGGGAGAGGGGGACTATGTTCTTCGAGACCTAAATCAGTACATAGATGTTTAGGATAATCTCTGGTCAATCTACATGTCATTAGTACCGCAAAGATCTGGCTAATTAATCAAATTAATTATATGCGTTATTGCAATCCCACAACTCCCTTACATAACAAACTCACCCAGAACATTTAAACATTTCTTCCCCAATATGAAACAATTCACCATGACTTTTTTCATATTAAATCATGTTCCATGTTTATTATTTTATTTTATCAAAATCATAAACATGCCTTCTCTTATTTCACTGAGAATAAAAGCATGACTTTTATCTATAATCCTAAATCAGCAAGAACTGTACACATCCTCTTGACCAGATTAGATGCTTTCAGAATTTCAGATAAATGTAAGAGCTTGTGGGTGGAACATAGAATCATGACAACCTAACTTTGGTAATTAGTCAAAATCATATGTAGTGTATGATATTCCCCTGTGAACAAAGAGAGAGCCAAACAAATCATTGACAAGATATTATGCCCACACATGATGAACAACAGTTTGTTTGTTCACAAACATGTCAACTATTAATTAGTCTCAAAATTTACTGCAGAAAATTACATGACATAATATTATCTTTACATCTGATAATGCTTAAATGCTCAAAAAACAATGCCATGATATTCTATGCACATCATATTTTTTAGCATTTGGGCAATACATTTTCACTTGACCATCTAAAACACATATGGTTATTCGATATAAAAAGTGCACACTGCACAAGACTACTCCAAGATTCTGCTATACATAAACACAGATGCATGCAAATGCATAAATGAATAATTTATAAATCACATCAATAATGTCAAACCATGGCCCTAAGTTTCCATATTGGGGAATTGCTATATTCCAAATCTACTATTTGTATTAGTGCTGTACACCTATTTCCATATATGCGGATCATAGCTAAAAGCCTAGAATCCTACTTGAAGGCATCAGTAGATGGTAATTATCCAACAAGTGTCTCCAAAAGATTGCACATTGCAGAACTTTATGAAACTACCCCTACTTTGTCCCGTTGACCAGGCCAGTAATTCATAAGCATTCTATAAATTTAATCATAGTTTGCAAAGAATTATGGTAATCTCCAATCACTTCCTACCAACTCCACAAAATTCCTGTTAACCTACTCTTTACCCACTGGAGAGTCTACCTGTAACCAACTTACTTCTTGTCGGAGCCACAGGTAGTTCTTGAGGTCTTGATTCTTCAAATTATTATCTTGACATAATAATTAGTGCAAGGCATGGAACTTATCCAGGCTCCTCTGGTTTTCAAGAAATTTTCTTTTTTTAGGTGGGTGGCATAATTGGAAATCAGTTGCAAATAGAGGCATATACGTTGATGTTTCTATTTTTCTTCAAGCTGGATACATGCTTCTTTCAAAGCAAGATAATATTTGAAGAGTACAAGATGAGGAATGGTTCCTTACATCTTTTTAAACTTTAAATTCAACTAAATTAGCATACATTATATGCCGAGGAAGAGGCTACCTACTGAGACTATATTAACCAATATGGAACTTTGGAGACTCAAATAACCAAATCATAAATAAATGTTGATGAATGAAACAACTTATCTGACATACATCAAGATTGGCTTGCAACTCAGCATTGGCTTCTGGAGCAGGGATTGCCCTTACAGCTCGATCACGTGTACGAGTTTTCTTCACAGCATCCGTGTTGCCTTTACCAGCAGTTCTCAGCCTACAAACGTGAAAACTTATTTATAATTTTCACATTATTGGAACTAGTCACCTCTCAAATAAATGAGTCTTATAGTATCTATCTTATCTGGTCTTTTTTTATGAGCAGAAATATCGTAGTTTGATGTAAAATAAATAAATAAATAAATAAAATGAATATTAGAACTTGAAGGTGTTAGTAGGGAAACGATGAAATTAAGTCATCAACCTTCTAGCTTCTTCATCCCGTAGTTTTGCATCCATCTCCTTGGTGGGAGGATATTTTGGAAGGCTTGAAGGATCACAAGCATAAGGTTTGGTTGTGAAGAACTGCAAAACAGAAAACAATACCCATAAAACACACACACACACACAGGAGGAGGAGGAGGAGGAGAGGGGGGGGGGAGGGGGACACATATATGATGCGAGCATTAGACGAAAAAAAAACTCTCATGATGAAAGTTTTAAAATAAAATGCAGTCATGCACCAGATTCCTACACAGAAATCCGTTTTTTTACCATAATATTATGACAGCTTAGCAAGTTTACGCAAGAATATATTTAAAATTTAAAAAGCATTAATTGCAAACCAGTATTAGTTTTCCTGGGAATGCACCAACGGTGATCCTTTTCAACAGAACTATTTGCATTAGGTAGATGACAATAAAAAAGACAAGCAGAATCAATCACCTAAAAGGTGTTCATTGCCACCTACTCACATTATAAAGTCATGGCCAAGTTGCAGTGTTCTCAAAATTTCCTAGTAATTTTCAAAAAAATTCAGAATGTTTGTCTTCCCCATACAACAGTTGAAAAGTATTCCCTAAAATGTTTTTTCATAACACAAATCACTTTTATTGATTTCTGGAAAGCAGTTCTAAGCTTGAGGTAGAATAGCATGTCATTATGAATCCACTTATATCTAAATAAAAACGTAATTGACTATGAATGCAATCATATGCTTAGGTAGAAAACTACACACTCTATTGAGTACCTTTTGTTCTAGACCCATCATAGCAGCCACAAGGAGCAGGATGGCATCAAAAAGAGGGAGAAGATCAAGGGGCTAATCCTCACAGTTAAACTAAAAGGAAGAAAACCCCTAATTAACAAGGGCATTACATGTAACTGATGCAGATGAAACATTATCAAAACCAATGTATTGTTAGCATTGCAGATTCATAGAGTACGATTCTCATATGGAACAATAATTTGCAAATGATTGATCCAACCATCACATCCCAATATAAAGCTTATGCTTTATGAATGGATGATCCTTGGAAATAAGGGATGTGTATTCTGCAGAAGATCATGGCCATGGAGATGCTACAAAAGCCGAATTAGGAGGAGCTCAATCAACAGGAATCGGGATAGCGTTATAATCTTTAGATAGTTTGGATTTATAGCAGAAGAAAAATAATGCAAATATTATAAAATTGACCAAAGAACGAATGGCGGCCCTCAAATAAAAAATAAAATAAAATAAAATAAAATAAAATAAAATAAAAAATAAAAAAAAACCTCTATAATGAAATAATCAATTGATCTTGAATTTATGGCATTTACTTCTGTAGAGATGCCTAAAAGCACCAATTTGGAAGCAAAAATCCCTACATTGGCAACATTTTGAAATACACTTTAGCAGAGCCAGGACTTGATACTTTTATTTGTTGCATACTATGGGGAACATCTGAGCTTCAATTTCTATCTGCAGTTCTTTTTCTTGACAATATTCATTTCTTATCACAAAAAGGTGACTTTTTAATTAACATCATATAATCATCTCAAAAGTTAAATTGACAATAAGCCAGTTTAAAACTGAAAAATGAAATATAGAAACCAGCCATACCAGAGCCCGAATTGCAAATAGAGTAAGTAAGAAAGGCAACAAAACGAAGTAAATCTATTTTTTGAATAAAAAAGCTCACTCCACTCCTCAACGCATCTGTGGCAGTTTGACGTTCAGCAGGGTCAATTGAAAGAAGGGTCTCAATTAATGGCAGAGACGAAGGCGGAAAATCTCTAAACGTCTCTGCTATGCGTCGTTTGTATGATTGCTGGGGTTTAAATATGGTTGCATGTGGCAGCTTTGATTTTTTCCAATATTCGTCAGAAGGAGAACCACATAGCTTAAAAATTTTGTGCAGCTGCTCCACCTAGGTAACATAAAAAGTGTAGATATTAGTGGCAATGAAAAGAGTCGCAGGGCTCACAAAAATCCATTCCCTCTATTTTAACATCCAATTTCTGCAGGCTTATAGTGCCAATAAAGCAATTGAATTTCTGTCTTTATTGCGTGGCTAAAAAGAAGCCTGCAATATAAGGATCTGTAGACCAAGATAAAGCCACTGCATTTATCTTCTACTCTAGAGAAGGAACAAAACATTAAATGACTGGTGGATGGCTAAAGAACGAGTTTTCACAGATATCAAATTGGTATAATCGAAGTTCAAGGTAAACCAGCAATTATGACAAGGCATACAAGCTTGTACCAAAAAACGACGAGAATTTCCTACACCCCGCCTAAATCATTTTATGTAGGACAAGGCTAATATGTAGGTCATTAAAATCACTATAATAAAGATATATTGCACCATAAAATGGAGCCTTGCAGTATAGGCATATGCAAGGCAATTTCATATTTAACAAACTTCCTGCAAATTTGAGTTTGAACACAGGAATGTATGCATTGTAATATCAAAAAGCTTGATCAATGCATCTTGGTGAGAGTGACATAAGGGATAACTTATAGAATGAAGTCAAAGGGTCTGAAAGTTACCTCTGTCCGACCAGGCATGATGGGCTTCCCAGCCAACAGCTCAGCAAGAATACAGCCAGCACTCCATAAGTCAACACCCACACTGTAGTCAGTGGCCCCAAGAAGTAGTTCCGGGGGTCGATACCATAGAGTGACAACCCGACTAGTCATGGGCTGCTTGTGATTAGGGTCAAAGCAAGAAGCCAACCCAAAATCAGCAATTTTAAGAACCCCTCCATTGTCAAGAAGAAGATTTGACCCCTTAATATCACGGTGCAGAACATGGCGGTTGTGGCAGTGTTCAAGCCCTGACAATAGCTGATGCATGTAACACTTGACCTATACCATAATCATAGATGCAGAAGATAACAAAACCACCCCATTCAAAAGTGGTAAGCAAACAACAAAAAAATCAAATATTTTTAGGTCAACACTACAATGATTAAAATGTAAGCAAATATAATCTAACCTGAGGCTCCGTAAAACTGATTTCTGGGCTAGCAGCAAGTCCAGCCAAATCATGCTCCATATAATCAAGCACAAGGTACAAGCTACATGACATCCGTGAAGTTGCTAAACCTTCCAATTTTAGAACATTGGGGTGATCTAATCGTCGCAGAATTAAAATCTCTCTAGCCATAAATTTTACACTTTCAGGCTCCAAATTGTCAAATCTGACTTTCTTCAGTGCAACAATTTTCCCCGTTATAATATCCCTAGCTTTGTAAACATTACTATATGTGCCTTGCCCAATCTAATCACAAAAATACAATAGCATACAACAGAGAATAAGACATTAATTCTACAAACAAATAAAAATTGGAAATGAAACTACAAAAATACTTGCCTTGTTGAGTTTTTCAAAAGTGTCTGCCCTACGAGGTGTCCACCCATTGATTGCCTCCCCGGCCACTGCTGAGAGCCATGACGGCCACCCGGCAGCCACTTGCTCACCATATACATGCTTAGGTGGATTACTGAGCCGGGGATTCGGCTTCGACCGCCTCCTCTCACCCCTTGCCCGCCTACTACCATCCTTCTGCTCTTCCTTCTGATCCTCCCCGCCATTCTGAACCTCACCATCACCGCTCTCCCCATTTGCAATGGCAACTTTCTCTCTCCTCCACGATCCCACTGTCAAATCCCTCTCTTTCTCGTTCTCTTTCCCATTCTCTACCACAACCTCCGAGCTCGGTGACCCTGGCGACGAAATCCCTCTCCCCAACACACACCCCATCTTTCACACCCCAAACCTAACCCTAATCCTCATTTCTCATCACATTCTATACTATTCCACTCATTCAACAACCAACCTCGCCAATCAACCAAAATGAATAACAAACACAAATCTTCCAATAAATGCTGATTTTTTTTACTTTTTGCAGCAATCAAATGCAATGTTTGATTAATACAACGAACATACGCTAATTCAAGAACCTAGCTTTTTGCCCAACAAAGCAGTGGCAGTAATGATTTAGTGTTAGCCCACAATTTATGGCGGTCAAAAATTAGCTACAAACGAAGCAAAAAAAAAAAGTGATCCACAGTAAAAATAAACTAGCTTTACAGTGCTTTTTGTTGGTGATTGAAGATCAGATGTTAGAAGCGTAGCAAAGTTGAGTTCCACTTGAAGGAAAAGAAAAAGAACATAAAAAATTAACTTACTAGATTGAGGATTTGCATGCAAATGTAGAGTGAGAAAGAGTGTGGATCTCTTTCTGCTCCTTTCTCTCTCTACAGTAGTAGTATATGCGAATATAGTGAGATGTTTAGAGAGAGAAACAGAATCGAAATGTTCGTAGTACCAAAATTGTATACTCAATCTGATGGCAGCAAGTCAAATAGGTTCTGCTGCTCACGATTTTCTCTCTCTGTAATGTCAGCTGTGTCTCATGGCAATGCTTAGTTTGTGCTTCTTTGATGAAGAATTAAGAGATCAGACCAAAGTTTTGGGATAATAAAAGATAATTCCTTTAAAACATAATTTTTTATAAATGAATTTTCAAGAAATAATTTTTAAAAAATTGAATTCAGTATTTTCAATTTTTTAAGAACAGAATTACAAACTAAACAAAACTTCACAAGTTTTCAAGAAAAAAAAATTTCTTACAAAAAAATTTAATAGTTCTAATTTTTAACCCATCAAATTTGACTGAAAGAGAATGATTTAACATGTTAGAAACATATTTAATTATGTTAAAAAAAATTCTGCATGAACATATTTAAGACTATAAAGAATTGAGACTGTCGAGAATGATTTAAAGAACAACCTATACAATACTAAAATGATTTAGACAACTCTATATATATATACACAAGTTTAGAATCTGTAACGGTAAAAAGTCTTGAAAATTTTGGGTCTACACTCGCATAGCAATTGCGTGACGTAACCTTTTAATGTGAAACATAACACTAGAGAAGCCTAATTGATGATTTCTTATATAACATAAAAATTTTAACGTTATTCAAACACAATGATATAAATTTATGATGCATGCTGGCCTTCACCATTAGAACAAAGATAGATTTTGGGACAATAGATCATTCAAATGATGGGTACAACTTTTGTTGTGGTCAAAACTGAGATTGAAGAAAAGATGATGGTAGATAACTGAATGTAACATTACGATTGGACAGGGTTGTTAAGTTAGGTAAAGTTAGGTGGACTGCATTTTGAGAATGTATTTAAAGTGATGCAAAGTTTTTGGAAGTGGGTCATGTGGAAACAAATGAATGGGGATGATGAAGAGAAGAAAAGTACTTCGGGTGCACGATAGCATACAGTAATCTCATTAGATGGCATAAAGTAGGTTTTGCAAGTTTCATACTACTATTTTCCTGTGTAATTCCAGGTGTCGTTTGGGACTTTCTTAATTGAGTTTTTAGATACCATTTTTCCAACTTAAAAAAAATAATAATAAAATTATAAGATTAAAATAGAAAATGTCTAATTTTTTAGAAAAGATTTCTTAATTCACTAAAAATATTTTCTTTCTTTTTTTTAAAAAAAATTCAAAACAATTCTAAGAAAACTATAAGATTGTTTGATAGACAATTTTTTTAAAATTAAAATTAACATAGAAAATGTCTAATTTTTTAGAATAGATTTCGATATTCATTAAAATATTTTCTTTTCTTTTCTTTTTTTTCAAAACAATTCTAAGAAAATTGAATAAACAAATTAACCCCTTCTCTGTGTGTTTTTTCCTGTACTTCCAATTTTCCATATAATTGGAACGGCTTTATTTCATTTTTTTTTCCTTTCAAATGTCGTATTTCATGTTTTCTTTGATTAATTAGTACTAAGGGTCTTGTGGTTCAGTAGTATTTGTCTGCCTTTCAAAGTGAAAGATGATTGCACCGACTCTTCGAATGAGCAAATAGTGTATGTGAGTTTTTAGTCAATGACAAAAAGATAAAAGAAAGAAGGTACAATTGGAACACTTCTATTAATACTCTAGACCCCCTACACAGTGGTGTAGCGAGGAATTTCCTTAAGCGGGAGCAATATTTAATAGCAATAATATATATATATATATATATATAGATATACCAAAATAATATATGTAAAAATTAAAACATTGAATCATAATATTTCTATTAAGTACATTTATAACGATTTTTCACATTATTCATTGTTATTTCAAAATTTATTTCATCGAATTAAATATACTAAAAAAAAATTCATATTAAATGAATCAACAATAAGATATGAAAAATAAAATAACACAATTACCTAATTGTTCTAATATATCACATATGTAGAAAAAATAAAAATAAAAAACCATGATAACCAAAAAAAAAAAAAAATTGTAAGTTTTATTTAGAGAATAATAATTAATAACACAATCACACAAACTAAATTTTGAAAGAACAACAAGTCCTAAAATAATTTTGATAGTTATAACTAATAATTTTTTTAATTAAAATTATAATATCAAGTAATAATCGTAAAATTTAGATAATAAAAAAAATATATCAGATTACCTCAGCCGCACTGCTTTGTGTCTCTATCTGCTAGTAACTCCACTTGCTTTGTTTGCTTATATATATATATAACGAAATTTTGGTTATATATGTATAGTATATATACGTGCATTGTAAAATTTTAGATAGGACAATTATACAAATATAAAAAAAATTCTATATAAAATTTTAAAAAATTGAAAATTCAGTGGGGACAACTGCCCCACTTGTCGCCATGCGGCTACGCCACTGCCCCTACACTTGTGCTAGTTTTGGGGCGCTCTTGTGATTAATCAACTTGGTTAAACATCAACCAAACCACTCATGCAAGCAGTCCTACACTAAACAACTCCAAAAAAATCATGAACAAATAGGGGATTTATTTTTCTTTGGGTGTCAACATCTTTTGGCTTTGCAACTCTTACATAAAATGGACATTGGAGGTGTACTTTATATGCTACAAAAAATAATAATAAATAAAAATAAAAATCCAAACTCAATAAATGTGATATAAAAAAAGGGGTTTAATCTTAAATATTGTTTGGTTGATGGTGGATAAATTATATTGAGCAGTAGCCTGCGCATCCTGGAGTTTGAGGCTAATAATTGAGTTCAAAAGGGACCTACCAGCCATAGTATTATTTGTTGACCTGTGATGTGCATGCACTACTTTTAAGTTTTAATTAATAAGGAATAAAAATCAGATTAGTTAATAAACCAAAGAAGTGTCTGGGATGATGGTTCATGGTTGATTCAGAAAACTGTTCTTAATTGTCAACTACAATTGGGTTAAGTTGTACTGTACTGCCTCCACAGGGACCACATTCTACAAATTGAATTAACTTGGGACTTTCTCCACCAGACCACAACCTCAATATATATATATATATATATATATATATATATATATATATATGACACCGACAGGTATATTTTACTTTACATTATTGCCTGATTACCTAAGACAAACATGACCATGTGATATTAGGGTTTGTGAGTGTGTGTTTGTTTTTTTACATAAAGTGAATTTATGCTGGTTGGTGCCATATACTTATCATTAGTGATTTATCACCAACTATGGTTATCACACAGTTATCATTAGTGATTTATCACCAACTATAGTTATTACGAAGTATATAGTAATCATTATTATTTTATCACCATTCTCGATGTTAAGACGTTAAAATGAGTAAAAAATAATAATAAATTAATTAATTAAAATGAGTAACAGTTGTCACTAAAATGTGATTGAGAAATTAGGAGCACTACAACTGTTATTAGTGATTAAGCAGACTTAGGGGTATAAACATGCATAAAGAAGATAGTTTGCATAAAATAGTTACACCGGTAAAAATCGAAAGACTAATTTTTCATGAAAGGAATCAGGCAAATAGACTGATGAACATGGGATAAAATTATTAAAATTTATTTTTAAAATGTTAAATATTATAGAAAGATAGTTTGTGACCTAAATTGCGGACTAAATATTTAATATTACAGAATTTAATAAACGAGAAACATAGAATAGATAGTGTGGATGACGAGGGACAAGGACAACAACGAATGAATGAGGACCGTTTCCAACATGGTATCATCAGCATACCATCGTTGTTAGTGACATCATTGGCACTCATTAAACATTAATTAACCATGTGTATGATTTTTCCTAGTCAACTTGCAATTATGTGTTGATTTTTCCTAGTCAACTTGTAATTGTTAGGTTAGAGACCATCTCCAACAAACTTGTTATATTCCATTTTCTTGCCCACCATTAACAAAGAAAAGCAAGAAGAAGTTGGAAGCAGTGATACAGGCAATGGGGAAAGTGTGTTGCTCGGAGGAAGACGACGGCGGTATGGATCTCAAAGGCTTCCTCATCTTGATCGTCCTCGCTCTTGTGCTCATGGTCATCTGCATTCCACCAAGGAGGAGAGCTGTTGTCGTGCATCGTTGTTGTTGATCGATTCATCTCAGTTCAAGTCCTTGTTCTCTCAGATCTTTTTCATTTTGATTTTAAGTTATTGGAATCCCATCTAATAACACTACTTCCTTCTTCTATTTCTGAATCCAATATTGTTGACCTTACAAGTGTTGAAGAGTGGAGGTTTTATATAAATGAATCATTGTATACTTGTCTATTTTGCTTTTCTGGTTCAAATACAACTTATTGCTTCAGATTTATTTGCATCCAAAGCAAAATTTGATGCCAAGAACAAACTTTTAGTGGCACAAAGTAGAATGGGCATAATCAACACCAATCACATAGACAATGTCATTTTTGGTGGATCTGAACATGTGCTGTTCTACCAAATGCAAAGCAATGTAGATGGAATACTAAGATGCTCTTTCCCAACAAAATTGACCATCCTAGTGGAATAACTAACATTCTCTTCCGTTTGTTGTAACCTTGAGCATGGCAGACAATTGGGGAAAAGATTACAGAATTGAAACACAGCTTTTTTATAATTCCTCGATCGATTTGCAATATGACATCAATTAGCAAGGGAGCATGAGAGAGTAAAATTACAACGAAACAAGTATCTGCACTCGATTACCTAACATCGAGAGAATGCTCATTCATGTTTGTTATCTCTGTTCTTTCTCCATGCCCATTGTTTCATCTACGGCATGCTTCTCTTGTTTTTCTTCTTTTCTTCCACATCTGGTTCAACATCCTGATCTCCACTTTCCACACTACTGCTGATGCCTTTAGCTGCCTTCTCTCATTTTCTTCTTCGCCTTCCTCTTCCTTTTTCTCTTTCTCCGTGGTCTCTTCCCCTTCCAGTTCTACATTATGCTCCTCCTTGAGTAATTCAACCTCCCAACCATCATTTTTCTTCTATTGTTTCTTCTCTTGCCTCTTATCACTGGAAGGAGCTACGGCCTCAGCCTGAGATGGTTCCAACTCCTTTATCTCCTTTATTTTCTAGAACCATATCTTCATCTTGGCTCTTCACCGATTACTCCACAACAGATTCAATTTTTTGCGTGAATACTGAATCAGCTGCAGAATTGCAACTCTGCATAAAAACATGTGAGAAAGTATCAAACTACTGCCAAATTAGGAACAACAACTATTATCAATAAAGTAGACTTGGGAGAGTATGTATATTATATAAAGACGACCTATAGATGCACCGGTAAGGAGAGAAAAACTTATTTGCATACAAGACATGAGACAAATAGAGTGATCAACATGGGATGAATAACTAAAAATTATTTTCAAAGGTTAAATATCATAGGAAGATGGTTTGCAATAGAGAAAAAAAAAAATAAAGAAAAAGAGTATTTGTGGAGTGACTCACTCAAATGGAATATAGCAAGGATGGTGATGATGACCAGCGAGAATGACAACAATGAATGACTGTTTCCAAGATGGTATCATCAGCATACCATCACTGTTAGTGACATCAATAGTACTCATTAAACATTCGCTAACCGCAGTACATATTCAAGGAAACCTGGTGTTGATTTTTCCTAGTCAATTTGTAATTTTTAGGCTAGAGACCATGTCCAAATCCCTTGTCATATTTCATTTTCGTGCCCACAATTTGCAAAGAAACCAAGAAAAGCAAGCAAAAGTTTGAAGCAGTAATATAGGCAATGGGGAAAGTGTGTTGCTCGAAGGAAGATGATGGCGGTTTGGATCTCAAAGGCTACCTCATTTTGATTGTCCTCCTCGCTCTTGTGCTCATGGTTATCTGCATTCCACCACCCCCAAGGAAGAGAGCTGTCTTAATATACCACCGTTGTAGAAAGATTCATCTCAGTATAATTCCTTTCTATTCTCTTGTATCTTTTTCAGTTTGCTTATGGTAGTTTCACTTTGATTTGAAGTGCTTGTAATCCCATTAAATAACAGCACCTTCTCCTGTTTCTGAATCCAGTATTGTTGATCTTTAAAGTATTGAAGAGGGGAGGTTTTATATAACTGAATCATTGCATAGTTGTCTATTTTCCTTTTCTTCTACCCAATTTGGCCTTTTCTGGTTCAAATACAACTTCTTGCTTCAGACTTATTTGCATCCCAAGTAAATTTTGATGCCAATAACAACTTCTAAGTACCCAAAAAGCAATTCCAGATATCTTTAAAACCAAATTAGTGGCACATAGTAGAATGGGCAGCACCAACACCAATGACATGGACAATGTCATATTTGGTGGATCTGACCATGTGCAATTCTACCAAATGCAAAGCAATGTAGACGGAAAGCAAGATGTTCCTTCCAAACAAAATTAAGCATCCCAGTGCCTCTGAATCCGCTTTTGTAATTTATTAACATTATTTTCCCAGTGATTTCTCCTCTCCTTTAGTCATAACCTTGAGTATGACAGACAATTGGGGAAAAGGATTACAGAATTGAAAGACAGCTTTTTTATAATTCCTCAATCGATTTGCAATACGAAAGCAATTAACCAGGGAGCATGAGAGAGTAAAATTACCACAAAACACGCACTCAATTATCTAAAACCAAAAGAGCTCGTTCATATTTATTCTCTCTCTTCTTTCTCCATGGCCATTGTTTCATCTTCAGCGTGTTTCTCTTCTTTTTCTTCTTTTCTTCCACATCTGGTTCAACTTCCTGATCCCCACTTTCCACACTATTGCTGATGGTTTTAGCTGCCTTCTCTCATTTTCTTCTTCTGTCTTCCTCTTCTTTTGTCTCTTTCTCATGGTTTCTTCCCCTTCTAGTTCCACATTATGCTCCTCCTTGAGGAATTCAACCTCCCAACATCATTTTTCTTCTATTGTTTCTTCTCTTGCCTCTTATCAGTCGAAGGAGCTACAGCCTCAGCCTCAGGTGGTTCAACTCCTTTTGTCTTCTCTATTTTCTAGAACCATGTCTTTTTCTTGGTTCTTCACTGATTGCTCCACAGCAGAATCAAAGTTTTGCATGAATACTAAATCAGCTGCAGAATTGCAAGTCTGCATAAAACATGCGACAACGTATCAAACCACTGACAAAACCAGTATCGAAGTGGACATTAGAAACTTTCAGATTTTGACAGCAGTGATCAATACCTGTCTTTTTCTTCTGATCCTTGTCAGAAATCTTCATCTTTGGCTTTGATTTAGCCGGCCCAGCTGAGGAACCAATTCTCTGCCCCAAGATTCCTTAATGGGCTTCAAGCTGCAAAAAAATTCCTCCATTAGAAACGTCTCATCAACACAAGTGGTGAGGAAAGGAAGAGACTTCTGCTTACATGTTTATTACCTTGGCCATATTTTCCAGACCCATAGAGTTACATTGGCTATCTCCAATAGTATGCACCAAAAGGCCAATAAAAAACCTTGTGGCAAAGAGAGAGAGAAAACCTTCCACCTAAGTTTTGGCGCTGCCTCACCAATCATGGGTGCATAAAAAATAAGAGCATACTTTAAATAGTATGCTTCATCTTTAAAGCTATTTTCCTGCACCAAGAATTTAGGTGGTGCAACCAGGTTGCTTTACAAGATTTAAGTTTTAACAAACAGCCTCCACGTGCTATTAGGTGTGCAGCAACTAATTCACCAATAAGAATAGTAAGATTGCTAGCCACTTTCAAGACTTAGAACTGCTAAATGGAATCACTTTGTTCCACTCCAACCACAACCACCATAATACCAAACGCTAAACAGTAAACAAGAACTTCCATCAACTGAGCGGACCATCTAGAGTATATATAATAGAGTCACAGAAAAATAAAAACAAGAAAACAAAAACAAGAGCAAATAAAACACTTATCATGCACTTATAAATTTTGATACTGGGCACAGCGATTGCATGTGCAAATACAAAAACCAAGTACATCATATGAATGAATTAAGTACATTTATACACACCAATTTACAAAAGCCAGAGCCATCCCAAGGTAGAGAGCTTATGGTTGAATTCTTACCATTAACCCCCCCAACTAATATGCCTATATACATATATAAGTAAGAATTATTATGTATCATGTGGATAGTAGAAAAGAACAGCATACACAAATACATGCATTAATTCACAGATGTAGCCTTCCCTAATTCTGAGTTTGTGTGCCTTGGCATGACCACGGAGTGCATGTAGGTTTAGCAACAGAAATCTGAATCCGTAGCACTTCATGAATCGCACCTCGATGAAGCACTCCAAGAACTTCCTCTTCTTTGGCCATGGCAAGATCTCCCAAGGAGAATTTACGAGAATGAGACTCGTCCCGCAAGCGGAAGCCATAAAACCACCTGCCAAGCTTCCACCATCTAACATACACTTGCCGCTCTGAAATCTTGCAGCTATCAAGTGCTTCCATTACATACTCGGCCTGCCAGCAATGACGTTATACATCAAATACTGCTGAAATTCTACATAGTTCAAAAGTAAGGATGTCACTCATCCAATAATCAAGCAATCAATCATTAATTATGCCACTAAAGTAATTCTCCTCAGTGATTGATGATGCAGATACGTGAGTAACAAAATACAGATCCAGCTTCTTATATTTATATACACTTGATCATGTTCTTTAACTATTGAGAGCTTCTGCTAGAGCACAATCCTCAAAATAAGTAGTTGACTAAAGGATTTGATCCATTAGGCCAATTCTCTTACTGCACAACACCACCCTATAGAACTGCAGTTTCCATCAAAGCCTACCATGAAAAATAATAATAATAATGATAATAGTGGAAAAATATCTGAAATAACAGCTACTAAGATCAACATAAAATCACGTATGACCTATCAAATAAAAACAGGCTGAGAAAGGATGAGTTTAAGGGGGATTTAGGATTAAGGCACAATTTGCAGCTTTCCTCTTGAGGAAAGGGGTATTTAAGGAAGGCATGCTCAAGCTGACAGTTTTACAACTACAACATCAGAAAATTGTCTTTTTTCATTTAATCACCTCTTTTTCAGCTACTGATAGTGGGGGCACAACAAATCAAAAGGCTAATTGAGCTGAGGACCATACGGTCCTATATTGGATTGGTCGCTATGGGTTATGTTCGTGCCAAGTTCGACCACAAGACCCACTAATCCTGCCAATGCTACGGTAAGCCACAAGACTAAGCAAACCTGTACAAGACATAACACCAATTCCTTTGAAGCTACTGCCACTGCCGAAGCACTTGCTTGTTTGGTTACCATCTGGGCTTAGCCTATTCCAGCAGTTGTTTCCACGCCAGAATGCAACAAACTGGTTTTTCCTTTCTTTACTTTTTAGTTTTCGCTTAGGAGGTTTCTGTGTATAGCTGCACAACACCTTGGTCGATTGTTTAAAAAGGTGAACTAAGCTAACTAATATACCAATTTCAAACTCTTCAAAAGGTACCTTGTTTGTTTACCAGCCCCAACCTAACACAAGGTTGATAAGTTCCCTTGATATTTGATTCCCTTTGAACTACTACTTCGAGATGCAGGTAATATAAACAAGTCTTCTTACACACACTTGAAATATTCTCTTTTACTCCTTTTCAAGGCAAGAAAACTAAAAAGTTGCCTACAATACATGCTAGGGATATGGATTATTGGATTCTTCACTACGCAAAGGGATGACAATTAACGGAAGAGATGCCCGTGTTCATTTAACTCATTACTATATCCAAACCTAATATTCATAACCCTGTCCCACGGTGAAACACCCAATTACGGAACTAAAGCGAGCCACGGTCCATGAAAAGTTACAATAATAAGTTAAACAGGAGTAAAAGCTTATAGAACGGTTCACACAATTGTATAATTTGCATATCAAACAGATAAGAGCAATTACCGGTACTCCAAGCCAACTAATGCAATAGTGCAAACCAACCAAGTTAAGTAGCACATTGAGTTTCGGTTTAAAAAGGAACATCTGGACATCTTTAAATCCAAACTGCATCGAGCACAGGTCCTCAATTGCTGTCAGATAGTGCCCAACCTCGATCGCTTCAGCAGATGAACACTGTTCCACAAAATCAACTACAACAGCCGCTCTACCCGCCATCTCACTGTGCTTCTTGATGTAAAATCCCTTCCATCCCTGTAATACATTTACAGAGTGAAACTTCTGATTTGAGCTAAAATTCGAACAGAGGAAAATAGCATAAGAGGCCAATCAAAAGAGTGCTTGTTGGGACACCATATGCTTTCTGTGTCTATAGCAGTTGCTACAAAAATGCATCATTTGGAATGAAGAATCACCATAACTAATTAATTTGCCAATCAATTAATCAAAATCAGTCATTTTTTCCCCAAAAGATAAAATTATCACACAGAAGGCTTCAATCCCAATTAAATTAACAAAAAGGTCATAGTCATATATGCTAATGTTGTAGAAAATGGAATCACTTCATTTCAGGTGTTCTACACTAGAATCAATTGTTTTAACTAATTCTCCTTTCCTACAAACTTGAATTTTGAGTGTCTGAACCCATAAAAATTACAGATTAAAGAAAATAATTATAGAGAAAGAGAGATAGGATAATATACAAAGGATAAGTCCATATATAATATATATAGAGAGAGAAAGAGGACCTTCAGCTTAGAGTTCATTTGTTGATCAAGCTCATGGATTTTGATTTCAGCAGCTGGAGATTCTTGGACCAAATGAAGGGCTGGCCATCTGGCTCTACATAGAGACGCCCATATACAGTCCGACCCGCAAAGTTCGCGCCAAAACCGAGAGCAACTACCCAACAAACACACATCCGATACCTTCAAAATTGAAATCAATATCAAACAATATATATATATATATATATATGAAGGAATTGCAGGAAGCAAACCTGAAGAGATGATACGATTTTGAGTGCTATATCATCGGGAAGTGAGTTCTGCATATACTCCAATTGCTTCATACTTCTTTTGTTTTTGGCTGATTTAGGGGAGTATTGATTTGGTTTCTATATTTTCTGGCGCAAGAAAATATCAGGGAAAGGAAAGGGCAAAAGGGGAAAGTGGGAAAAAATGTGTTTACATACTGACATGCGGCCACGTCACTAATGCTGATGCTTGTCAAACTAACAAAAACCGAATATGTTTATGTTACGTGACGATCGAGCAATTATCACATGTTACTGTAACATTTTTCCATAGAATGCCACGGCGAATCACAGATGCGAATTTTGTGGAAGAAGAAATGAACGAGTCACACTTAATACAGTACTTTATATAAGAAAAGACTATTTTTTATTTATTTATTATTATTATTTTTTTTGCAGTATTATAACTATTCAAGTAATTATTGAATCTTAAATGAACATAAACTATCAAGTTTTTGTATAATGAAAGTTATATTATCTCACCTTTGTCTTTTCAAACATGAGAATTAATTTTTAAAGCAATAAAAAAAGACGTATGGGCATAATTACCGTGTGTCAATAAAAAATAAATAAACAAAGTGGTGGAATGTTTATATTCAACTCCAAAACGAAATTGAGATTAAAACATAAAAGCTGCATTTTATTTGTGAATTTAAATTAGTTTTCATTAGACTCGATCTAATTATCTTTCAAACGGTTGTTAGGTTGATTCAATTCAATGATATAGCTTCAATAGTATATTAGTATTAAATTCCACGTATTCATTTTACAAATTTATTGCCTAGGCTTTATTTTTTTTATTTTAGCTCTAATATTACATGCCTATATTCATTTTCTTTTTCTTTTTTTTTTCCAGGCTATATGAAACTGATTTTGCCACATTTTGGGCTTGCTAATGGCTCAGGCAGAGTGAGGCCTTGGGCCAATTCAGAAACATACCGTTTCCTATATATATATACCCGATACAAACATATGAACCATATCTACACGCATGTTAGGATCGTCTAGACATCTTCTTCACTAAATATCCACCAATCATTTCGATTCTACTTCGATAGAGCGGCTGAAACACCACTCTCTCTCATCAACCTCAAATTCTCTTTGATTCATTGCCTTTTTAGTTATTTATTTATTTATTTTTCTTTTTCATGAGATGTTCCTAATCAGAACCACAACCTGTTTTGGCTAAATCCAATCTTTACTTGAGCTCAAAAGATGTCCATTTGTGTCTTCTCCAATGGCTTCACACTCAATTCACCAAGGGCTCAAAGCTTCAAAAGGCTCTTTTCTTCTCATTTTATCAACCCAATTCAGGTAAGCTCAGTCCCTTATGCTCTACCATTTTCTTCCGTAAATTTATCAAAACCCTCTAAATTTAGCAGAGAAAGATTCAGACCCATCACAGCTACAACCACCCCAACTGTTGAAACCCCCAAATTATCATTCAGAAACAAAACCCCAAAAGATATTAACATTTTGGTTGTGGGTTCAACTGGTTATATTGGAAATATTGTAGTCAAAGAGTTGGTTAAAAGAGGTTTTAATGTAATAGCAATTGCTAGAGAGAGAAGTGGTATTAGAGGTAAAAATAGCAAAGAAGAGACTTTGGAAAAGTTAAATGGAGCCAATGTGTGCTTTTCAGATGTGACCAATTTGGATGATTTGCAGAGAAGTTTAGAGAATTTTGGGGGTTCAATTGATGTTGTTGTGTCATGCCTTGCTAGCCGCAATGGCGGCATCAAGGACTCATGGAAGATTGATTATGAAGCCACCAAGAACAGTCTTGTTGCCGGTAGAAATCGCGGGGCATCACATTTTGTTCTGCTGTCTGCAATTTGTGTGCAAAAGCCCCTTCTTGAATTTCAGCGCGCCAAGTTGAAATTTGAGGCTGAGTTGATGAAAGAAGCTGAAGAGGATGCTGGATTTACTTATAGCATTGTGAGGCCAACTGCATTTTTCAAGAGTTTGGGTGGACAAGTTGAATTGGTGAAGGATGGGAAGCCTTATGTGATGTTTGGGGATGGGAAGTTGTGTGCTTGCAAGCCAATTAGCGAGCCGGATTTGGCTTCATTCATTGCAGATTGTGTGTTGAGTGAAGATAAGATCAATCAGGTTTTGCCAATTGGTGGCCCGGGGAAGGCATTGACACCAATGGAGCAAGGGGAGATGTTGTTTAGACTAGTAGGGAGAGAACCCAAGTTTTTGAAAGTGCCAATCCAAATAATGGATTTTGCCATTGGGTTTCTTGATTTCCTTGTTAAGATATTTCCTCAACTGGAAGACACTGCCGAATTTGGGAAAATCGGAAGGTATTATGCAGCTGAGAGTATGTTGGTGTTGGATCCTGAGACCGGAGAGTACAGTGCTGAGAAAACACCAAGCTATGGGAAGGACACATTAGAAGAATTCTTCGAGAGAGTACTCAGACAAGGAATTGCTGGTCAGGAATTGGGGGAGCAAACAATTTTCTAAATGTTCTCATTGGGGGTAAAAGTTCATAAATTTGAATGTTTTATTGAATCTACCAGTTTTGTCACAATGTCCTATTTAAGGTTAGCAGGTATTTTCCCTTTATGATTAATCCTTGTCTGAGTTGCAAATTATATAATATTGTACAAAAAGTTGCAGCCTTTAATCATAAATACTTTTGCTAAATGCTAAATAACTTTTCAATCTGTGTTTATCTCTGGTTGTGTAAACATTATCCTCTAGATACTGTCATGAGTTTTATTTATGATGTCTTGGAGCGTGTTATAATTGTGTTGATCCTATAGCAAGTGAGGGCTTCAAAAATTAGTTGCTATCACTGTCATTACAGAATGGAACTCTCAAAGAATTGTTTGCTGTTCTTTCATGATATTCTTTTGTAGAAATCCATAATTACTAGAGCTAAAGAATGTCGTGTTGCTAACTGCGATGGAGGGTTGTGCCAGTTTGTCAGTTTCTCAAAGTTGTTGCTAAATCCCTGAAGGTTGGAATTTCGACGGTTCAAAATAAATTAAAGTAAATTAAAAATCTTTTTCCTTTATTATGTGTCTGCTCACTTGAGCTAAGGTTTGGATCAGTTTCTAGTCTGTCTTGACTAATCCTATATAATTTATTGGGATGTGCTCATTTGCACAGGCAAATATGCGCAACTTGTAAATCAAGTTCGACAGTAAGAGCAATTAATAAAGGATCACTCAATGCTGATGGCAAAAATCCAATGTGGAGATCAAATAAAAGCAAATTTTTTCTTCTGATAAAAGAGTCCACTGATGTGGTTCCTTAGATTGAAAGATCTAAGACTGTGTTGAGTTTTTTTAGTTTCATTTTCTAATATATTATTATTTTAAGAAAGTGGAAGTCACACAAGTGTTTGTTCTTGTTGGATTGGCCACTTGACCCCTCAACCTTCCATGTAAAGAATGAAGAGACATCACTTGGGCAATGCTCATGGTGGTTGAGTTTTTGTTTAGAGTTAGTTTCAATTATCACTTTTGATCAACTAGCCTCAACAAATTAAGTCTAATAATTATTTTGATTAATTAAATCAAAATTTGCCATCTTATTTGAATATCATAATAACTTTCTTTTATATACTCATATACCACTTTTCCTTTGACTGTGAGCACATTAGAAGAACCTCTTGCTAATGTATGAGAACTTAGGTGACCAGCAAGGATCATTTGCAACACAGCACAGGTGTGCACCGTTTGATGCAATGCAGCACCTGTGTTGTACATGTGATGATTGTGAACCGTTTGATGGGGCACAGCACCTGTGATGTGCTGTACTGCACCAGATCCCACTTCAACCAGGTAGAGGAGCCAACTACAGTTAATGAGTTAAAACGAGTCCCTGTTGCCAGCACAATACATCCACAATAAAACTTCCCTTTTAACTTACCTAAAAATATACTCCTCTTATTTAGCTAGCATGCCAGCACAGACACATCTCAACCTCCAAAACACAACGAAAAAAAGTAAAAACAGTTCTTTTTTTAACTATATAGAAGCCAAAATATATCCTTTGCAGCTGAGCAACTCACACACGGACAAACAATAGGGTGAAAGCACAGGCAGAGTTCTCATTCCTAGGTCTATATCGACAGAAGGATTTTCCTCTCCCTTTCTCTCTCTTTTAACTCCAACAAAATGGGTTGTGGGAAATCAAAACACGATGTGGTGACTGGGAACACAATTAGCCAGAGCAAGAGATCATCAGAACCAGATGCCAAGAAGAGCAAAGGCACAGAAACAAAGCCGGAAAAGGCCTCAAACACAAACTCACAGGTGCAAAAACCAGAGCGGGAGAAGGCAAAAGAGGACTCTAAACCGTCGGTGCAACAACAACAAAGTGAAAATGGTGCCAAGGAGGACTCCAAGGGTGTCACTGTGGCTGGTACGAAAGAATCAAATGAGATAGAAGGCGGGATCAAAGAGGAAAAACAAGAAAGTTTAGTATCTCACAACTCGCCAAGGGGAGGTGAGGAAGCTAATGCTGAGGCCATTGTCTCTCCTGCTGCCAAGGAGGGCGTGTCAGAGGAGAATAAGAAGCTAAGTAACACCACCGATGAGAAAGGTTCCGTTGAAGATACCAAACTGGAGACAGAGAATGGTTTGTGACCGTTCTAACTCTATAAATTAACCCCAATCTTAATCTCGGGATTGACTACATGAATTCTCTTTTTTCATTACGCACCTTGTATATATTAGGTCATAGTTCATGTCATGATGTGCAATTTGTTAATACAATTTGATTTATATATATATGTACAGAAGAAGAAGCTATAAAAGTGAAGCAAGCAAAAGTGGTGGCAACAGAGGAAGTGAAAGACTCAGCCATCGCCGAGCAAGAGAAGAATCCGAATGCCAATGAGGTACAAATTTTTACATGTTGAATCTGTAAATTAGTTTATGTTAGCATAAACTAACCAAACAATTTTTTTTTTTTTTTTTTTGTTTTTGTGTGCGCGCGCGTACAGAAACATGTCACTGATTCATTAACAGAAGATGCGAAGACAAATTGAAGGCCAAATTAGAATGAAATGATCGATGCTTATTTAATTCGACTTATTCTGTGTCTTATATATATATATATATATATATATATATATATCAAGTTTAGGTATTGATGTTGTACTGCTTCTCCTTTTATGCTCAAAAAATTGTTCTCAATTTATTTTATAGTGAAATGTAGTTTACTATAAGGTCCCAAAAGGATCATACTTTTTGATTGTTGGGCAGTTTCGATACATGGATGAAAATCAATATTTGGGATTTGTTATGGTTTTAACAAGCACATAAATCGGTGTCAAAATCAAAACTCTGATACCATTGCATCTGGGATTCTTTGTATCTTGTATGAATGTTATTAAATAATCCAATTCATTCACCCATGGATCACTTCTTTTTGGAAGGTCAAGCAAATTGAACAAAAGAGAAACTTATAGGTGTGAGGGCCACAGACAAGTGGGCAAAAAAGTAAAACTACAAGCCCATTTGGGCAACCTAAAATCCCAGCCCAAGGGACCAAACAAAAAGAGGAACCCTGAAGTAAAACAACCAAGCCCAATCCAAATGGGAAGCCCAACCAGCCTAGACTACGAATAGAGAGGAACAACCAAAATCTGGTAGCCCTGAAAGCAAAACGGCTATGGACTCGTGTCAGTGAGCCTCTGGGCTAATTGTTGAATATATTTATTTAATAATCAATGGTTTTAAATAGCTCAAAATCCTTCTTATATTTGCATAACCAATTATACGTTGAGCATATAGTCATTGGAATTCTCCAAATGCATTTGGTACAGTCGTACTGAAAGTAAGAATGATGAAAGAATAGTAGAATTGCGGTGAGGGTTTATAAGTTGGTATTCGTATTATAGCTTTATTTTCAAATGGAACGCAAGATAAAACACTTAACAGATTTTAGCGAATCTTAATAATATTATATGGAACTAGTTAGGAATAGTGGCTCTTATTTTTTGATTTCTATTTTACAATTAGAGTGGTATAAATGTAGAGACATGTAATGGGGCAATCTCACGAGGAAGTGAGTTGACGAGCTTTTAAGGAAGAGTTTTTAGTATTCAATGTGTTTGTTGCAAGACGGTGTCTCACAGTTGACAGTGTTATTGCTCGGGTGTTCATAGTCTCTACTTTTATGCTGCATTTGGTATGTATGAATGAAATGGAAATGAAATGAAATATTAATTCTAATTATATTATTTGGTTGTAAATAATAAACGTGTAGGAATGAAACGATAATTAACCATTATAGCGTTTGGTTAGACCAATTTAAAATTTAAAATGGAATAAATTTTAAATTAAATTCTCTAAAACACCATTATTAATGACAAATAAATTAAATTAACAAAATATTATTCTATAATTTTTTTTAAAAAAATAAATAACAATGGTAATAAATGATAGCGACAATGGTGGTGGAAGTGGAAAGCAGTAGTGGTGTAGGTGGTGGTGTCAGAAGGCAACAGTGGTTGTGGTGGCGGAAGGCAATGATGGTGTTGGTGGTAATGGTACTGATGGAAGGCGTCAATGGTGTAGATGATGATGGTGGAAGGCAATGGTATGGTGGTGGTGGTGGAAGGCAATGGAGGTGGCAGTGGTGGTGGAAAGTAGTGACGGTGGCGGTGGAGATTGCGACAATATAATGGTGGTGGAATGCGGTAGTAGTGTAAGAAGTGGTGTTGATAACGGCGGCAGTGTTGGCGGTAATGGTAACAGTGGTAGGAGGCAATAGAGCTGGCGGTGGTTGACGGTGGTAGTGATGAAAGTCGACAGTGGTGGGGGCGATGGTGGAAAGTAATAGAGACAGCAATGGCGTGTTGGTTGAAGGCTGCAACAATAGTGGTGATGGTAGTGACAACGGTGGAAGGCAATAGAGGTGGCGGTGGTTGTGATAGAAAATAGCGGTGGTGGTGGGTGAATTTTAACTCATAATAATAAATTTTCATTCAAATGGAATGTCCATTTTCAATTTAAATAGCATATCAAACAAATGAATGGTTAGAACAAACATTCCATTCATGCATATCAAACACGACATTATAATATCTCTACATAATTATAGTGGAATTTCCTCCTCTATGAAGGTAGCAGTAATTTTAAATAAACCACGTATATCGTGTGTTATGCATGTGTACTATTGCTTTATTGCTGGGTTGGATCTTCATGTTCTTATTGTTGGCGTGGATGGAATTATGGAAAAGTCCAACCGATCCAATCCATCTCATTATTTAGGACCATTCGCACTTGCCTAGTTCGTGATATTTTGCCCATATGGTGTTATCATACACGACCTACCAAAGGAAGCTCATTAATTGTCTCACATATGTATTAATTTTGGAACATTCTCCATAATATTCTAGAGTTGTATGCTAAATATCTTAGATGCTGTTTTGGAGTATCCATTCTAGAATTCTTATGATAATTGGATATGTATAGATCATATTGATTCATTGTGATGTCTTTAGCATATAAATACAGTGGAAGCTCATTTGTCCACACCAAGTAACCAATTGTTGTAAGCATTATCTAAATATGACTAATAGTAGGCCAGGTTAATGTTATTGCACCCATGGAAAATGATTTTGAATTCATTGTGAAGTTGTTAAATGAGCTGGAAAATAGTAGTGTTTATAAATTGGGTGTGAGCCTGGTAATTGGTCAAGAAACTAAAGGAAATAGCGCAATATTTGTAGGATTTATATACAATTCAGTAATAATTAAATCTGGATTACCTGGGTGATTGATTCACCATTTTGTTAGTTTTGTAATTTCACAAATGTATCGATGTATTTTCGTTATTTTTGCTACAACTTAGTTTGTGTATAAGATCATCTCCAGTAGTCTATTAAAATATTATTTTGTGTAAAATATATACTGCCACGTATAATGTGTAAATTTTTTTTATCTCTAGCAATCTGTTAATATACATTGTCAAGTCACTAATCTGTAAAATTGTTGTGTATTTTACCTAACCTTTTTATACAGCCACATCAGCATATTTTCTTGATTAAAAAATTAATCCTATATTGAGTAGGTTTGTAAAAGTTATGTAGGCCATGACCCTATATTAAGTAAGTCAAGATATAAGAGCTAAAAATAATTTTGTGTGTAAATCTATCATAACATATCATATTTACACAAAAATAAAATAAAAATATATATAACGGTTAGATATGCTCTAAGTACATTATCGTTTTCCTCGCTGTTAATTAATTGTCTTTTAATAAGAATTGAGCCGTGGTGAATTTAATTTAAGTCAAACAGTTAGTTAATATATTTATTTAATAATCAAAAGTATTAAAAAATAATCAAAAAGTATTAGAAAAAACTCGCATCAAATTTTCAATAATACGTTCAGCATATAGTTACTAGAATTCTATAATTACCATATTTATGTAAATTCCCATCACAGATGGAATAGCATAATATGGCTCAAAGATTCATAGCAGGCGTGTCTAGCAACCAGGAGATATTTCATCCACTAAAACTAATTTGAGTTTGGTATTGTTCTCTCTTCAAACAACATTTATAACCGGATGTCTGTAAATGATAAATTGACAACGATATTTGCCATATATAAAGGTTATTAGAATGTCACTTAAAAGTCTATAAATGATAAATTGACAACGATATTCGCCATATGCAAAGGTTATTAGAATGTCACTTAAAAGTTAGAATCGAATTCAACTGTTAGATGTTAAAATGTTCTCAATATCTACTAAAAATAGGGTCAAATGTTTCTCACGAAAAGGAAAAGTGCCCACCCACGTGTGATACTTGTATGAAAAAAAGAGAAGAAAAGAAAAAGTGTGATTGGATGAACATTACAAAAGAGTCCAAGAGCAACTCTGTAATACCCCAATATTTTTAAAGGATTAATTAATTAAAATTAATTATTTTTATTTTATTCTTTTTTTTTTAATGATTTATTTTTTTATGATTCGTTTTATTTAATTAAGTGCGTAGATAAATTGTGATTTGTTTTATTTAATTAAGTGTGTAGATATATTGTCTTGTTTTAATTGAATTATGTTTTATAATTTTATTTGTTAAAATTGTAGTGTTTGATTTGCGAAATGCTAATGAGTGAATTGTTTATTGGGTTTGGGTGTAGTTACGCTTGTGTGTATTATTTATTTAGTTATTTTATGTATTTAAATTATTTGGATTGGGTTTAAGGAAGGTTGGGCCAAAGGATGTAGTATTGGGCTTGAAGGAAGCTTTGCTGGGTTAATTATTAAAGGCCCATAGTTGTGAGGATATTTAATAATTATCTTTGCATAATTATACCTATATAATTACATGTGTATAAAAATATATATTGATATATATAGGTATATTTAATCATGTGGAGGGGTATATATGTCAATATAAATATATATTGATATATATAGGTATATATAATTTATTTAACTAATGGTTATATATGGAAGGTAATATGTATATTTATATTAAAATATATGTATGTATATATATATTAGTTAAAAGATAAATATTATTTATTTTTATGGTAATCATGATGGGAAAAGGATTTAGGTTTTTTTTTATGTGTCTAAATAGACACATAAGACTTTAGGGTTAGGAATTTTTCTACGTTAGAAAAATAAGAGAGTTAGAGAGAGAAGAAGAAGGGCTAACGAAGAAGAGACCGGATCAAAGAAAGAGAAGACCGGATTTGGAAAAGAAAGGCAAATTCTTCTCTACTTCTCCTCTTATAATTCATAAACCTATTACCTTGAGTATCAAGATTATATTTTTATTTGTTTGATTAAAAATAATTTATTAATCGAATTAGATGAACATGTTTTTCGTTGCAAAGTGATTGATTTAAACATGTGAATATAGATATGTATTGTTATGATAATTTAGTTTTGTATGAGAGGTTGTATTAATAAGGTTTTATTTTCTGTAATTTTTATAGTTTGTTCTTGAGTTGGTTTAGCATGGTTAATTAAATTAAAGAGATCTTAATATAATTATACGTGTTCATATTTTTCCAAAAATAATTGAATTAAGCTTTTGGAATTTTTCTAGAATTTTCTGGAATTTTATGAAAATTTTATGGAATTATTGTATTTTATTTTAGAGTTTATTTTGTATATTTTGTATAAAATATATACACTGTTTATATAAAATACCGAGGCTTCAAATCGGCGCACCCAAATAAAGGGCTGGGATTCGGTGCAGCAAGGCGTATGGC